CCCCCGGCGCCCCCTTTGCCCGGCCCAGGGGCTCCTTCCGCCGGCCGCGCTGTACCTGGTCATCCGACACTTGCTCCAGCCAGATGTGGGAGCGGTTGGCAACGTGCAGACGCGTGTAGCCGTAGTCCTCAATGCGCAAGGCACTCCACTCCCGCGGGCGGGGGACGAAAGGGTCCAGCCTCTCCTTACAGCCCTGTGGGGCCGAGGGGGCAGAGCCCATGGCATGAGCAGGGACGGGGCTACAACACTAGGTGGCCTCTCCCAACAGGGCAAGTTTCCAGCCAAACCCCACCTCCCGGCAACGTGCAGACGCGTGTAGCCGTAGTCCTCAATGCGCAAGGCACTCCACTCCCGCGGGCGGGGGACGAAAGGGTCCAGCCTCTCCTTACAGCCCTGTGGGGCCGAGGGGGCAGAGCCCATGGCATGAGCAGGGACGGGGCTACAACACTAGGTGGCCTCTCCCAACAGGGCAAGTTTCCAGCCAAACCCCACCTCCCACAGCCTCCGCCCGGCTTCCCTGCCTGCCTGCCCCCGTGCTCTAGCAGATAGAGCACTGAATGGGAAAGCGAGAGCCCAGGTTCCCCAGCTGCGCAAAGAGCGGGTGGGTCAGAGAAGAGCGACCGACTGTTCTAACCGCAACTCTGCAGCTCCTCTGCTGAGCCCTCCGTCCATCCCCTGGGCGTCTGGGGCCCCATCTTCACACAGCGGGACTGTCCTAGGGCAGGGGCAGGCCCAGCTCCTCCCCTCCTGCCCTTGCCCTTAAACGAACACCCTAACAAGCACCTAACTTGGGCCCCAACCCTGGAAGTGCCCACCCCCGCACTGAATCTCAGTGAGTCTGAGGGCACTCCGCCCCTCCCAGGAGGTGTTTGGTGCTGAACAGGCCCAGGCCCTTACACGGCGGGCAGAGACGGCCCAGCCCTAGCGCCGCCGTGGCAGGTTTCCCCGCTGGCTGCAAGGAGAGGAGACGTGGGAATGGGGAGCCCGTGGTGCATGGCCCCCGCTGTCACTCACAGCGGATCCGGTGATGATATGCACGGGTGCTCGGGGGTTGGTGTAGGGCGAGCTGGCACTGCCGTTGTAGACCTGCAGCGGGAAGAGGCTGGTCAGACTCAGCTTTCAGGCAGGACAGCAACCCCGCAGGAACCCCGCTCCCCCAGCCGGGCGTCACCTGGTAATTGTAGACTGGCCACAGCCTCTCGTAGGAGTGTTCGTGGGCCCACAGCTCTAGATCCACACCTGGGGAAGAGGAGGAAGCATTGGTCAGGAACTGGCAGGACCGCGCCAGTGTGCTCTGCCGTGGGGCCCTGTTGCTGGGGGAGCGGCCCTTTAAGGGCCTGGGGGTGTCACCAACGGGCAGGCAGTCACTGGGCCCTGCCCCCATCCGCAGCCAGACGGGACCCTCAGCCGGCAGGGAGAACAGAAGGGTTCTTGGTTCCCAGGGACACAGCGTAGCACAGACCTGTCAGCAGAGGGACCAGCAGCAGCCAGCACAGCCCAGCCAGGACCCTGCCCCCCAAGCCAGCCAGACTCCCCCACCCCCAGCAGCCTGGTCCCAGCCCTGCAGCCAGCCCCACCCCCTTCCTCTGTCCTGCTTCCAGGGCAAAAGGTGTCACCTGGTCGCCCCCCTCCCAGGCTCAGGTCACAGAAAGCATCAGCCCTTGTTGCATGGGGGAGAAGCTCACACGGAAATTCCCATCCTGCCACTGCTGCAGTGCCCAGGGAAACTGAGGCACACCCACAGGGTTACCTACCACAGGACAGTAAAACTCACATGCACCCTAACAAAGGGAACAGGGCAAACACAATCCCCCTTCAGCACTGAGGCTCTGCCCACGTTCTTGGGAGGGTGGGGAGCTCGGGCAGGAGGTGGGCCAAGGAATTCTCAGCCCAGCCCCCTGCCCCTCTCTCCAAGGTGGGTGCAAGGGCTCGTATGGTCTTGCCTACCATCCCCACGGGGCGACAGCAATGGGCAGGGAGACCCAAGCCCAGCCTGCCTAGAGGGACCTGAGCCAGGCAGAGCTGGGAGGGCAACGAAAAGCCAGCAAGCTGAAGGAGTGGGTGGGGAGGGGGAAGCTGCTTAAGAGGCAGGATGCGCTGGGGTGGGGTCTGGTGCCTGTGACCCCAGGAGCCCTTCGCGGGGCTGGAAACAGACCCCCCCACACAGGAGAGAGGAAGCAGAAAGGCCCTGGGGCACCGGGGACCTGCGAGGCCAGAGCTGAGAAAGGTGCCAGGGACTGAAATCCCTGGGAACAGGCTGCAGGGAGAAAGTGGCCTAAATAAACCCTGCAGCGGTGGGTGTCCTGGAGCATCCCTGGAGAGGGGCTGGGCCCGCGAGGGGAGACGGGGTGGTCGGCGTCTCTGCATCACAACCCAGGCCAGCTGATGGTGGCAGGGCTCTCCGAGGAGCACGGGGCAGAGGCTGACGCCCCCACAGCACACGGCCCGGCACCCCCAGAGCCGGTTCTCCCATAGGACGTGTCTGGCCGGTTTCTCCCCTCCCTCTGCACTGCACCCAGCGCCCCGGCAGGGGGAAGCCCCCGCTTCCCTGGGGTCCCCCGGCGGCGTGAGGGGAGCAGGTACCGTATTTATAGAACAGGTCCTCCAGGCCGTACTGGTGTTGGAGCCCTCGGCGAATCTGAGGGAAAGGGGGGAGGTGGGTTACCCCAAGCTCTCCAGTAAGTCTGCCCCTGGCCTCCTGGAGCAGCCTCGCTGGATCAGTCTAGGGGTCCCCTCCACTCCCCCCGGCTGGAAGCAAAAGTGCCCTCCTCTGCCCCAGCAGCCTTGGCCCCCCCACTCACGATGCTCTCGTGCTCCGTGCAGTCGTCGTAGAAATACACCTCCGTGGAGAAGGAGATGATGTGGGCAGGTCCAATGTCCCAGCTGGGGGCCAAGAAGCAGAATCAGACTGGGGGAGGGAAGGACGAGCTTGGTGCTACGATGAGGGAAACTGAGGCACAGGATGGCCAAGAAGCATGTCCCTCAACACTCACACTGAGTCAGTAGCGCAGCCCAGGAGTCCTAGCACCCAGAAATACACCTCCGTGGAGAAGGAGATGATGTGGGCAGGTCCAATGTCCCAGCTGGGGGCCAAGAAGCAGAATCAGACTGGGGGAGGGAAGGACGAGCTTGGTGCTACGATGAGGGAAACTGAGGCACAGGATGGCCAAGAAGCATGTCCCTCAACACTCACACTGAGTCAGTAGCGCAGCCCAGGAGTCCTAGCACCCAGCTCCCTCCCAGCTCTAACCACTAGACTCTCCTCCCCTCCCGGGGCTGGAAAGAGAACCCAGGAGTCCTCACTCCCAGTTTCCACTAGAACCCTGCTCCCAGAACCAGGGATAGAACCCAGGTGCCCTCTGACCACCTCCCCCATGCTAGCCATGGACGGCCAGGCCCAGAGAGCCCCCCTGCCAGCTGTAGGGCCAGGATGAGGCCCCTCCCCTCGCCAGAGTGCTGACCCCTGGTGGGGAGGTGGGGTGCTCACCTGTACCAAAGGCCCTCGGTATTCCCAGGCATGCTGAAACGGGCACGGTAGTTGGAGAAGTTGCTGGAGGAGGGAAGAACAATGAGGGGGCCACAGCAGGGATGTGGGGGGGGGTTACCCCTCCCCTTCCTAATTCCCAGCCTGGCAGCTCAAGCATCCCTAATGCAGTCTCAGGTCCCTCCCCCGGAGCAGATGGGGACGCCTCGGGCTCTGCCACACAGCCACCTCTCCCCCCGGCCCCCAAACACTTCTAGGGCAACAAGATCCCCTCCCCTATGCTCCGCCAGGCCAGTGGAGACCCATCAATCCCCTGCGTGGCACGTCCTGCGTGTGTCCACCGGGGACGCTGCCCAAGCATGGACCACCATGCCCGGAGCGAGAAGCCAGTGGCCAAGGCTGGAGGGGATCCAAGGGCAGCATGCAGGGCGGGCAAGAGGAGAGAGCCGGGCGGTGACGGAGATGAGGCAGGGCAGAGCCAGCCAGCTCTCACGTGCAAAGTGCCTTGCACGAGATCCACCCCCCACTCACTATTTCTCTTCGTGGTTCCCGGGGCAGGTCATGTACGGCACCGACGCGGCCACGGGCTCGATCTTGCGCATGAAGGCGTCTCCAACCCGGGCGTTACCCTGAACCCCAGAAAGACGCATCAGCTGGGGGGCAAGCGCCCGGCGGGGGAATGCCACGTCCTCACAGCACATGTACATGCCTGGGGCTGTGTGCACCCATGGCCACGTGCACAGAAGGGAGTGAGCAGATCCACGTGCAAACGGCCGCCAGGGCACGGATGAGCAGCGGGTGTTGACAGGGCCAACCGACATGGCTTCAATTCCCTTGCCAGGCTATGCAGAGCCCTGGCACCGCCCACAGCCCCGGGGCTCGGAGTACCAGCCTCCTGGACAAGTTCTGCAGCCCGGGCAGAGGTGCCCAGGGCAGGACAGAGCCCCACACAGGGGAGCAGGTAGAGAGGCGCACAGAGAGGCCCGCCAGTGGCGCCGGGACGAGGGG